GGGGACGAGGAGCGGGACACGTACTGGGTGGTGCAGGGAGATATTTTTCGGAAAGACAAAGGTGGGACCCATCAGCCCAGGGCCAGGTTTGCGCTGAACCGATGCAGGTGTAAGAGAGCAGACAGCAAGCCTCTAACTGCCGTTAGGACGGAGAGTGAGGCGATCTGCGGGGGAGGAAGCGATTCTTCCGTTCCACCCAGAGCCTAGCACAGCTGCCTCTCTGGTCAGCAACCAAAGACGGTTTGAACTCAAGACCGAGCAAGAGGTTAGCAGGATTTTACCCGGGGGTTAGGTGTTCAAGAAATGCTTGGGAGCAGCAGAGCTGTCCTGGCCAACGAGCCTGGCCACAGTTGCTCTGGGTCCCCCTGCTGTCGTGAGTGAGCGTGGGTGACGTGCTCCACATGGAGCTCGTGGGCAGGGCAGAAGCTGCTGACTTAACTCTTCCCTCCCGAATTATCACTGCAGGCTAAAAACAGCCACACAGGATCCGCAGAGCAGCTGCCCTTCTGCGCATGAAAGGTGGCCGCGGGGGTCCCTGGCTGCGGGCATGGGTACCAAGGAAGGTCGAGGTGTCTGGGTTGTTGGAGAACTAAAGGGTAAACAGCCCTTTTGGAAAGGAAAAATTCAATTAGGAAAAGCTGTTCAATACAATTTCAAACATGTAGCCTGAAGAGTCTCTGTACGACATCGGACGTCCTGTTAATTAAGGACTGTGTGCTCCATTTAAGAGCAAACACACGTTCGATCCTCAGCACCGCCCATACTCAGTGTCAGAACAAACCAGCTGGTGGGACTGTTTTTAAATGATAACAAGCCTGCTAAGAGTGAACCCATTTAGAATACACACATGCACACGCACGCACACACATGCACACACACATGCACATACATGCACACACTCCAGTGGCTCCAGCAGCCCAGGGGGTTGTGGGCTCCCACGTGGCCCCTGGCCCTGCCTCAGGCCACGGGGGCTGGTGCACCGTGCAGCGCGGGCCAGCAGAACACAAGCTGTCCCCAGCAGACGGGTGGCTAGGACAGAAACAGTGCTGTCACCTGGCCCAGGGGATGAGCAGAGGTGTCACAGAGCCTGGGCACCAACACTTACTGCTATTCGCAGGATTGATGCCTTCACCGAGGTCCATTTGTCCTGCCTTCGGTCTATGACCAGGATGAATCCAATGCCAGCATCTTGTAAGCTGAAACGGGGAGAGAGATCTGCAGTTAGCATGTGCAGCAGGCTCACGGGCTGTCGTGTAAGCTCTGAGAAAGCCTTACACTCCTATAATCCTGGGGCGGCTTCCACCCTGCATGGTGAAACGCATGCCAAGTAAGCATCTAAGCAGACTGCAGCATTTCCATGAGCCTTGCCCGGGCAATTTCCAGAACGTGCTCTTATCTAAAGACGGACAGATGACCCCCTGTGTGCTGCTCACACTCCCAGCCCCACACCAGCCATCTCACGGCGCAAAGACCCCGGCAGACCCCCTTCCCAGAGCTCCGTCACCAATCATGGTCCTTTCTGGGTTGACCAGCTGGCTAAACCCTCCAAAACAAGTTTTCTGATCCGTACGTCACCTCAGTCCTGGCATCTGAGGTCCCCCTGTGTGTCCACGTTATAAAATCGCTCTTGATGGCATTGCTACACCTTTGGGAGTGTAAAATCCCCGAGGCGTCCGCAGGCTCACAAGCATCTGTCGGAAACGGGAGGCAAGAAATGGCTGCTTGCAACAGCAACATCTGTGGTCAAGAGAATGCCGAGTCGCTGTGGAACGACAACTCCGTCCTGCCTCAGCCCAGCGCATGGGCCTGAGTCACAGTGGGGAGCGGGGAGGTCCGCTTCCGTCGGGTAACTCCACATCCAAGCCAATTGTGCAGAGCCAGCTACTGCCGCCCGCCAGCCAGTCCCCGCGGAGGGAAGAAGGGCATGCCCGAGGCGCCAACTTGAATTGCTAATTTCCAAATCTGCGAACATAGTGAGGAAGCCACTCTGGGTTTAAATGAAAATCAGAATTACACGGAGCAAGTGTAAATGACGCAGTCCGGAAATACTCTGCGGGCTGCACACATTACATAACAAAGCCAGGGCTGTCCACGTGTCCTTCTGCCTCAGGTTTCAGGGGGCGATGGCAGGGGCGCCGCTGGCTCTCGGTGCTCCCCCCGCTCCAGCTGTTTACACCAGTCGGGTTCAGTCACGGCAAAGGCCTTCCAGGTGAATGCACACACAGGCATCAGCTTTCATCCGGAGTAGCCTTTCTGCGTGGACACACAGCGAAAAGCCACGATCCCCCTTCACAGCCGTGTGGCCGCCCCACAGAGAACTGTCTTCGGAGCTGCTTTAGTTCTTTGGCACGGAAGGTCTGTTTGTCACTTGAGCTTCATTGCCAGGAGTGGGGGCTCCACAGCAGCCACGCTCCCCACACCCTGCCTGCCAACTGCCTGGTTCGGGCTGGGCAGGCCAGCGAGGAAGCCGTGAGGCCAGGGAAACCCTGGTTCCCAGGCTCTGTGCTAGGCCGGCCGCAGGAGTTCAGAGAACTCCGGACCGTTGCGGGGGCGCGCTCCGTCCTGGGCTGGCCGCGGGAGTCCGGGGGTCCTCTGCGGGGGCGCGCTCCGTCCTGGGCCGGCCACGGGAGTCCGGGGGTCCACTGTGGGGGCGCGCTCCATCCTGGGCCCGCCGCGGGAGTCCGGGGGACCACGACAGGTAGGAGAGGAGAGAGCATCTCCGGGCGAGCTCTGTCCACAACAGGTGTTCTGCTGAGACTTCCCCTCCCAACCAACCAGCTACACCCTCCTTGGAGGGGTTCACACCGCCTCAGAAGTCCTGAGCGGAGACTGTCACCTGGGTTCTCACCCTTCCTGATGCGGGAGAGCAGAGGGCCGAGAGACACTCGTTTCCACTGTGCACACCACCAACCTCCAGACCAACAGAATCCACCCCATTCTCCAGGAGAGGCACTGCCAAGGGGGCGGCTCCTCAAGGCACCATGGGTCATCTCAATTTCCGTTCCTCTAAAGGTGGGCACCCAAACAGTGTCCCCGTCTTGGGGCTGCTGAGAGGGAAATGGGCCGATCCTGTAAACCCACCAAGTGCTTGGTAACTGTGGATTCTCACTCTCGTTGCCCGACCCCATGTCTCCCCTTCTCGCCGAAATGGAGCTTTGATCCTGGTGGGGACTCCCTGTTGTCCACGACAGGCAGGTTCCCTTTGCCATTCCTCATCAGACCTCACAACGCCATACCTCATTTGAGCTTCCAAACCCAGAACGTTCTCTCTTGCGGCCCAAACACACCCATTTCCTGCCGCAGAGCCCACCATGCTGGGCCCCATGCCCTCAGCGGAGTGTTCGCGTTTATGCAAACGCACAGCCACTGGCAGGCCCCAGGGCCTCAGCCCCTTGTCCCTTGTCCCTTCCACACTGCACTGTGTGATCGGAAGACCAGCATCACAAACAGGCATTGATCAGAATGCAGCAAAAAACCCATCATCAACAGCCCGAGTCAAAAAATAAATAAATAAACTTAAAAGTGAAATACAAGGGGGTGGTGGTGCCTGGGCGGCTCAGTCAGTTAAGTGTCTGACTCTTGGTTTCAGCTCAGGTCTTGATTTCAGGGTCATGAGTTCAAGCCCCGTGTTGGGCTCCATGCTGGGTGTAGAGCCTACTCAAAATATACATACATACGTATATGTACATACATATACACATACATACATACACACATATAAAGGAATTGAACATTAACTTGTCTCCCAGGCCAGGCCAGGACCCTCTTTCTAGGAAAGGAATTTCTTGTGCTTTGGGGCTGCCAAGGGCAGATCTACTTCTTTTAATCCTCATGACGGCCCCATGAGGTAGGGACCACTATCTCTCCAGCCCAGAGTCGAGGAAGGGAGGCTCAGAGAGGTTGAGTCACTTGCCCAAAGTCTCACAGCAGATGAGCACGGACGGGGTGAACCCCGTGGTCTGGCTCCCGGTGCTCTCAGTCCCCTGCAAGCTGCCTCCCAGGCCAAGTCCACCCTGTGGACTAGAGCAGCCCCCCTCCCAGCCTCCCGTCCCTGGACAGCCTCCTACACGGGGCCAGGCAGGAGCCCTCCTCCTCGGGGTCCCCGCACCACTCCTGGGTGTCGGGGGACATGCTGAGGGAGAGCTGACCCCAGAAGCAGACAGCGAGGCTGCCCACATGCCAGGACCCGGGACACCCCTCCTGCATACCCATCTCGTCTGCCACCACACTGGGGACACTGACCCACAGGTGCACAGACTTAAGAAGCTGAGCCATCTTCAGGATGTGGAGACCTTTCTAGCCTCCCACGCGCCCCCACAACTGCTGTCCCCGAGCAAAGCCGCGGTCTGTGCCGCCAGCAGCCGGGGCCAGCAGCACCACCCCCACCTCATGGAGGAGGGTCCACCGGGGGAAAGGACTCTGAGGGGAGCCCTGCTTCTGGCCCCCAGCCGCGGGTCTCTGAGCTCATATGTCCAGGGGACAGGGCAGCTCATGCTTGGATCTCTGAGAAGCCGCCCCCCAGGACCCCGCTGCTGCAGGCTTGGGCTGGTGGTGCTGAAGTGGGGGGGCAGTGGGAGAGACTGGCAGCCTCTGGGGCTCCTAGTACGCAGGACACACACGGCCCGGACGGCTGCCTCCCACCCCAAAACAGCTGGCTTGGAGGGGCCGCCCTGGCCACAGCCCAGCAGCTGAGTGAGGCTGATGAGCTCACTTTTGGCACAGAGCTCGAGTGAACTCTGTTTCTGGGATTCAGCCACACTGGTGCCCTCTCCAACACCTGGGTGGCCTTGGTGGCCCAGGCCCACAGCCCGTCAAGTGGGTGCAACCTCCCCATCCCCAGGCGGGAGCAGGGAGCAGCCTGAGAACAGTCTGGAAGCAGGGGCTGGGCAGTCCCCTGACAGTGAGGTCTGCGGTCAGCTGCATCCCATAGTCTTGCTCCTGGCCAAGCTGCATCTCGTTCTCCAGACCCGGCAGGGGAGTGGGGGACTCGCCTGTTTACACCAGTTCGTCACAGAGCGGGGGCGGGTGGAGTCGCAAACACAAACCAGGACTGTGGAGCGAGAAAGGGCAGAGAGCGCCGTGGTGGGGACAGCAGAGGGATGGAGCCGGGGCACTCCGACAGGCCACAGCGTGCTGCTTCTCAAACTGCAGCGTGCACATGGGACTCCCAGGGCTGGCAAATACGCAGACCCGGGCTCAGGGCGCCTCAGTGGGGCCACCTTTCTAACGAGCTCCCAATGCCGCTGCTGCTGGTCCAGAGCCACACCTGCCTGGCCAGTCCTGCAGACGAGTCCCGAGGGCCTTCTGTGACGCAGAGATGCCACCCCTGACCCGAGCTTCTGTCCCAGGAGAGCCCGGAGGAGGTCTGGACACTGGGGGGGCGGGGGTGGGGCTGCTGGACCTGGGCCTGAGCGGGGTCAGCAGGCAAGTGAGGACAAAGGAGGGGTGGTGAGCAGCCTGAGACTCAGCTGCCCCCCGACTCACGATGAGGTGACGTCGGGATGGAGCGGAGTGGGGGGGCCCAAGGACAGCAGGGAGGTGTGGGGGCGGTGGGCGTCATGCTGGCGGGAGGGGGTAGAGGGGAGCCCTCAGGTGAGGCAGTGGCAGGGGGTGCACACTGGGGACGCCTGGAGGAGAAGCCCTTAGGAAGAAGTCTCAGGGTACCAGGAAGGTACTGCCTCTCCAGGTCTGAGATAGCTGGCGGGGCACAGCTTCCGGGAGCAGCAGAGGGGCCGGGTGGGGTCCCCGTCAGCGCCCCTCCTGCCCCGCGCCGGTCCCCTTCCTCTGGGTGGCCTCCACGGGGCGGCAGGGCTCTTGGGAGACAACTTGGGGGGCAGCTTCCCATGCATGGTTTGGGGCACGCGGGGTGCCCGTCACAGACACCCACAAGAGCCCATCGCCAGGATGAAGAATGCGTTCAGACCAATGGTGCCCTCCTGTGGCCGGAAGTGAGTGCTGCCTGCGACCCAGGCGGGCCCAGGGTGCCCCACCAGGAACATGGGGACAGGCCAACTTCACAGGCTGCGCTAGTGGGCAAGTCCGGGAGCCCTCCTCCTCCCCCCACTCTCTCCTCCCCGGGCACGGCCACGGGGTCCCAGCCGCCCGCGGGACGGGGTGTTTGGGAATCCTCCCTTCCCAGCTGACTGAGGGGTCAGAGCAGGCTTTCAAAAGCCGGGATGACAGGCTGGTCCTAAGA